CTATTTCCCCATGTTAAGTATCCTCACACTTTCTTGTCCGCTGTCTGAATGGGCCATCTCGATTATCACTACAAAAGTTTTTTTCTCCTGCTGATAATAGCTCATCTTAATTAATTAGCCTCTTACAGTTTGTATGGCAACTTCCACCTTCTCTCTCTCTCTCTCTCTCTCTAGATCTTTTTACTATATGTTCCATTCTATGCGTCCGATGAAGTGGGCTGTAGCCCACAAAAGCTCATGCTCTAATAAATGTGTTAGTCTCTAAGGTGCCACAAGTCCTCCTGTTCTTCTTCTTGTGTTATGCTGCTTCGCCATGTCTTTTTAATAATTTGTTCCCCTTTTATATTAAAGTTATTCTCTTGTTAGTATGCAGAAAGCGCTAGTGGCAAGTCTTTCCTAAAACACCAGCTCTCCTGATCTAGTGATTTTGCTTTCCACCCCCAACCCTCTTTCTCTTTTAGTCTGTTGATGTTGATTGGCCTCCAACCCTGAATGATTAGAGTCTTTCATTCAGAAGAAGAGTGGGAAGAGGAAGAGTGACTTGACTCTCTTATCAGGAGCTAACAACAAATTGAATTGTGTACCGTATGATAACTTGTTTATCTCCTGCAAAATATTTCTGTTGAACATTTGGATCATGTTGATCTGTCAGGTTTTTTTAATTGGCTTAAAAACTCAGGATCAGTTGATGCTTGTTCAATTAATTTGCAGCCTTATTGTAAATAAATTACCATCCCGTGTAAAGGGGTCTCTGACAGGCTGTATTAATGATGTATTAATAGCAGTAAATGGTTTCTTTTAAAAAAATTATTTAGAGAGATGTCCAAACCCTGATCTTTGCAAGATATACCAAATATGCTTTCCTGAATACTGTTTGAAACCCTTTGATTGAAAAGAGAAGTTCCCCTCCCTGAAACCACACATACCATATATCATCTAATTTTATTCCTAACCAGAAAAAAAAAGTAGACACGTTTATATCAGATACCATAAGCATAATCTTATCTAGATGTTTGTACCACTTCCCAGATCAGCAGTCTAAAAGCCTGTTCCTAAGTACGCCAAAAACTATTCATATAAAGGATTTGTTATAGTCTGATCCTGACAATTCTCAGTTAATATGGAATTCTGAAATCAGTGGGACTACTCCTGGAGTGCGGTACTGCTCAACATGCGTAGGGGCAGCAGAATCTGGCCTACAATATTTCCCCCATATATGTACTGGTGCTGGTTGGATTTTGACTATTGTAGGGGGGAGGGGGTGGCTAAAAACTTTATACCCAAAAATTCAGTTCAGAAATTCAGGAGGTGCCTCATGAGATTTGTAGTTCAAGTACCTCATACTCCTATTCTCTTCTGTAGGCCAGGGTCCCTGACCAGTCTACATCTCCCATGTCTCCCCTCTTGCTGAGCCCCTGTGTGCAGCATGAGAGATGTAGTCTGGCTGGGGAAGCCACCACATGAAGGAGAGTGGGGATATGAGGTGCCCCAACTACAACTCTTTGAGGGACCGTACTGGCATTACTGAACAGAAATATTTGGGGTTTTGGCTGACAAACATGTTGCGGTTTTTCTTGACATAAGCTGAAAATTCCCACAGAAAGTAGCCAATTTTTTTGAAAAATTTCATCTAGTTGAAAACTCCATTTTCCATCAGAAAAACAGTTTTAATTGATTTTTCATGCCTAGGCTATACTTACTATGTTCATTGATTAATTTTATTTTATTGTGCTACTTCTTTAGCATAATACTGGCAGGTCCAAGTTCCTCTGCAAAAGAGCCGTAAAAGTAGCCATCTGTTTGTGTTACATTTTGTGTGGCAGGATAAAGAGTTGCAGGTTTACACCACATCCCACTTCCTGTACAAAAAGTGCAAGACAGATAAAAAGTTCAAGTCATGATAGAATTTTAGCATGAAGTACAGAAAAGGCCTAATCTAAAGAAAGCAAGCTAATTCACTACCCCTCTGGCTCTACCTGCAGTAGGAACGGGGAGGCTGTAGTATATGTGGCTTTCTGGCATTTTTATGTCAGCAAAAACATTTGAGTCCAGTCTGCGCTACCAGTGGTGAATCACAAGGCCCTGCTTTGCCACTGTAGCTGAAGCAAAGGTATATAGAAGCGTATGAAAACTTGTGTATAAATTAACAAGCCCCCACTTTAATATGTGAGTGTGAAATGGCCTCACAGGTTGTAACCTAAATCAGAAATTAAGAGGACTGCCTTACAACACATCTTGCTACATTTGATGAAATCAAGACTGAGTGAGTGTATCATAGAGCTGTTTCTGCTCCTATGAAGCACAAAAAGATGAATACAGATTCAGGAAGAAATTGAGGGGATTTGGAATTATTAAAGAGGCTTTGTCTTAAAATGTTTCAGAAATATGTCAGGTATTCTACAAGACACACTGCTATTTATGTGGTGGTGGGGGGAGGAACTGTTGGGTGGACTGTACCCACTGCTAGCGTCAGGAAAGACTCATTAAATTAGTTCCTCTTCTCCACTATCTCCAACATGTAAACATGGATGCAGGAGTTCAAAAGTACATTTCTGTTTCTTTCTAGAATCAGGAGCATGATTTAGACTACAGGTTTTGTTTCTAATATAAAAGTAACTATGAGCAAACGCTTCCAGCAGTAGTTGACTTAGATAATCATCTGTGTGAACAGTTACAAACACTAAGAAAGGAGCCTATGTGAATGATGGAAAACATAAGAAATTGAATGCACAAAAGAGAAACCCAGCGTAATTGTCTTGATTTCTTGAACCTATTAATAATGATTTCTAAATTCCAAAATCTATAGGGAAAAATCAGCAGGAATAGACATAGCAGATATCACACAACAGCCCCTCCTGTCTGCTACAAAGCTAAGAAGGCAAAAAAAGAGAGAGAGCACGCTGCTAGTGCTGTCTGAGTACAGAAGAACACTCTGGTCACCATTCTCTCTAATATAGCTTGTGCTATAGGAGCAATGAAGACACCATTTAGAGCTAGAGTGTAGCTGGATGATGAGATTGTAAGGGCTATTTTAAAATATAGGGTCTAATCTCCCTTCCTCGCATCCGCAGAGTTCCCAAAGATCCTGAATCAAGACAGGCTTTCCCTAATATATCTGCATTGGGGGTGAAAGTAACTTAACTGACTTACTGGTACAAGAGTAGCAGGGGTCCTGGGCAGGGGGGCGTGCCTCTGGGCCCCCAGAAGGGGTGGGGCTGAGGCCAGGGCCAGACTTCCCCAGTCAGTATTGCCCAGCCCACGCCAGCGATTGAAAGGGCCTGGGGTTCCCAGCTGTTGCTACCATGTCAGTGGCGGCCAGGAGCCCCGGGCCCTTTAAATCGCTGCTGGGCTCCTGGCAACTACCACGCCAGAAGGTGGAGCCCTGGGCCCTTTTAAATCGCCAGGCTCCGGGGCAGCTGCCTCTTTTGCCCCCCCATCAGCGGCCCTGCCAATACAGTCAGCTGTGTACCAGCAGCCACTTTCTTACCGGTATGCCGTACTGGCTTACTTTCACCTCTGGGTGTAATGCACATGAAACTAAGGTGGTAGCCAAGGTGCCTATACACATAACCATCCAATTATGTTCATTGGCTATGTAGTGAAAGTGATCACATAAAATATAAAGAAAATTTTGAAAAGCTAATGTAATTTGTTTTGTGACTTTGTTAAAATCTGAAGGTTTAACAAGAAAATAAACCCTTCTCTCCTTCAGCCTGTGTGTTTGTTCGTAATTTACATTGCAGAACTGGAACTAAAATAAATTATAGTTTTATTTTAAAAACAACATCAGGGCAAAACTTACCCTTTCAAGTAGTGTCACTGAATTAAGGTGATGGCTTGTGTGAATAAAGGGAGCAGGATTTAGTCTATTATAGAAACTTATCAGATCAGAAATGTAACACACTGAAAGGAACTATGCAAAGAATGAAAACAAAAGTTGTTTCATACATTGCAACATTTCAGCCCAAAAACAGCTTAGTGTGTGTAAAAAGTTATTAACATTGACTCAGAAGGAACTCTAGGCATCACTAAAAGTACTCATTTCCCCCCATGTGTCCTAAACTTATCTTTCCTAACAAAACATATAGCTTTTTAGAATTGGCTATTCTGTTCAGAATCTAATGTGGGGCACTGTTGTCCCTCAAAGGTCATAGAAACTGGGCAGCCAATAAGAAAACTGACATTTAGCCCAGCATTGAACATCCTTACACTTGCGTGATGGTTCATTTAACTCAACAGGACTTGGTGTGGGAATAAGGATTTGTAGGATCAACTCCCATAAAGCAGAAGAAAAAGGTATGTTAAAATAACTAGAGTGGGTGATGTGTGGTAAATCTAGAGAGCATCATCCCTACTATTCACTACTCCAAGGAAAACGTCCCCTGGACCTTACATTTCAAACAATAGCTGTGCAGAGCTGCCCTCTGAAATGCAGGCTTCTTGAAGGTGTCAAGGACACCCAACAACTGAGCCCCTGCAAAAATATCAGGAGTCATTTTTCAGAAAGTAGGCCTTAGGCCTGCACAGAGATTTTGCATGGCTCTACCTAAACTGGTAGGTTTAGTAAAGGTATTCATAGTTGTAGCTATACCAATAAACACATCTTTACATTGTAACTGCCTATACACTACGGTGGCGTGCTGATTTAACTAAATTTGTTTTTCTACCAATTTAGGCAATCAATGCAAAAAACTACACAGACACTCTTAGTGTACAAGTCACTTAGGCTTTCCACTAGCCAACGATACTCAGTAACCATGGAAAATGCCTTAAAAACAGATTTCCTAATATGAACAAAACCAAAGCAGCGTCTCTCAAGCTGATTTAAGCTTTTGGGGCCTCACATGAGTAGCCTCATTTAAGTCAAGGAGTATTAGAGGGACTGAATAACTGTTAGGATCCGATTTTCTTTTTCAAGCTAATGTTCTTGAATGGTCTATTGGGACAGAGTATAAACACAAAACCAGCTTATCTTGGAGCCAAAAAGGAAAACACAGAGGTGAATTAAAATATTTAATTATACAGAATAAAAAATTGTAGCAAAGAATTTTTGAAATAAAAAAATTACTAAAATGTTAATTGAGAACTTTAAAGAAACTGATTGACCAGATATTTCAAGCTTTATATTTCCTCAGTCATGCTCTGTTGGGTTATTACACCTACAAATCACATGAAAAATGCTGCTTGGTCCCTTTCATTCATTTTAAAAGTATTACAAAAATGCTGACAAGTACCCCGTTGCCGCTCCTCTCACCTGAGATTTATAGGAAGCACCTGTCCAAGCTCCAGCTGCATATATAATACACAGGGCCATCCTTAGGGTTGATGGGGCCCTACTCAGTATTATTAGACTAGAGCCCCTATGCTCCACTGCAGGCGGTCCCCAGCCAGCACCGCTGACCCCAGTGTGTTGAGGTGGCCCAGCCACAACCCCTGCCTGCGGACCCCCAGAACCCCTCCCCCCCCATTGCTGACACACACCATGCTTTGTACGCAGCAAATGCTGTGGCAATGGCTCAAGGCAGGCTTCGTGCTGTCACATGGGGGCTGCATCTTGCCAGAGCCCATGGCCCTCCTGCAGCCACTCACCACGAGCCTTTTGACAGGATGTACCAAGCAGTAATAACAATAATACGTGTGCGTGTGTGTGTGACTGTGTGTGTGTAAGAGAAAAATCTGTATTGAGAGACTGACTCGTGAGAGGCAGAGTGTATGGGGGTATGAGAGCCAGACTGTGTGTGTGTTAGGGAAGTGTGAGACACAGTGAGCACACTGTCACTAAGTCCCAGCCCCCCCCCATGTGGAAGTTTCATTCCTCCCATCCTGGCCCCAACCCAGCCCCCCCTGGAGACCAAGCAGTGCAGGTAGGCAGGGTCCAGGGAAGGACTCCACTCTGAGCAGTGGTGCACCGGCAGAGCTGGAGGCTGGATCCTCAGCTGGCCAGCTGAGGAGGAAGGGAGGGGGTGGGGAGAAGCCTGCTGGCCCAGCACAGGCAAGGGGCTGGAGAACAGAGGATTCCAGCCACAGCCAGCGAGGGTGGTGCCCCACATTTTCCAGTGCCCTACGTAGCCGCATATGCCTAGGGACAGCCCTGATAATACAATCTAAAAATATCTGCAGAAATTCATACACACACCTGCCCTGTATTGAGCATTACGACTGGAGGTGCATAATCACCTACACCAGTGGTTTTCAACCTTTTTTCAGTTGTGGGACCCCTAAAAAATTTCAAATAGAGGTGCGGACCCCTTTGGAAATCTTAGAGCTTGTCTTCACTACCGGGGTAAGTCAACCTAAGTTACGCTACTCCAGCTACGTAAACAAAGCTGGAGTCGACATAGCTTTGGTCAACTTACCCCAGTGTCTTCACTGAGCTGCGTTGATCATAGACGCTCTCCAGTCGACTTCCCTTACTCTTCTCTCAGAGGTGGAGTGCCAGGGTTGACCAAAGAGCGCTCTGTCATCGATTGCAGCAGCGTTGATCTCCCCGTACTGAAGACCAGCCCTTTGACCTAATTTGCAGGTCCGCAGACCACAGGTTGAAAACGCCTGACCTACACCCTTCAAATTATTGCTCTGAATCAGAGTTATTTATTATTGCATCTGGGAGTCAATGAGATCTGTTCTCCAGTCAGTAAATAGACTTACATGAGTTTTAAAAGTTTAGTGATACCTTTGGCAGTGGAGGAGACTGTTTAAATAGCTTTAAAAAAAGTGAATGTATCTGATTAGAGAACTTGATGCTATAAAAACCAAAACAAGATAACCCCAAAACCCCACAAAGAAATATCATTTATGGGCTAGATCCTCACAGGTGCCTGAGTTATGCTTGACAACCTATGGGGCTAAGGGGGTAGGGCACAGCCCCTCATTCAGGGTGCAGATGGGGATCCTAATTAGCAGCGTGGAATCATTCTGGGTGTCCAGAGCACAGCATGTTTTGGCCACACCTTCCCTTTACCCCTGCGATGCCAGGAGCCAGAAGTAGGTCGTGCAGAGGTTGCAATGCTAGCTTTATGGCACCCAGGACTCTCCTCAGCAAGAGGACTCTCAGCTGCTTGTGTTTGGGTAGCCAGCTTCTCGACTAGCCCAAAGTCACCAGAAAGGAGGTGCCATGTAAGAGGATCTAACCCAGTATATTTTATGAAATTCAGAACAAACACATGAAACCCCAAAAAGTGTATTCCTTATAGTACCAATCCCCTGCTACTATTCATAAAACATCCAGTACGTTAGAGTAAAAAAAAAAAAAAAATACTGAGAGAACAGTGCAAAGTAGTTTTGCTTCTTTGTTCAACAATTCATGTCACACCATAGCTGCACTATTTAAGAATTCCAGGGAACATTCTAATATTTTTAAATAGACTTAACAATGACATAGTCATTACCATTTTTAAGAATAATTTGCTTTCTAAGCAAATGGAGTGAACATATAAATGTAAAAAAGATCAGTGCATAAGCTAAGTTTAGCAATAAAAATGTATATATAAAAATGTTGAGACAGCACTGTCAGGTAAGAAGAAAATATTAAGGGGACTAAATGGGCCACTGCTGTGCACCAGCAGGACAGTTCCTGGGTTTGTCTGGTTTGTTATTTAGCAAGTTTATATTAATTTTGTATGGAGCAACACTGTTTTTGTTTCCAGCTAGTTCTTTCCCTTAAATTATATAAACTTGGCCCCTCTGAATTATAATATATATATATTATTATATATTTATATATAATTTTATATTATATATAAATTATATAAACTTGGCCTCACTGTTTCCAGGGGTGAGCTTCTGCTGAGTGCAGGAGGTCTTTAGCACCTAGCAGCCCCCTTCACTATCCCTTTCCAACACTGAAAGAAAATTATGTGAATGTATCTTTGGGGTTCTTTGGATGTACAAATTCCCAAACCCTATTCCCTAATGTCGCCTTTAATGTGGCATCAACCCTTGATCAGCCACCCTAATTATAGTCTGAAATGTGCATAATAAGTTGCCCTGATAAACATTCCAAGAGGAAAAGCCAGGCTCCCACAGCAGTAACTATGAATAGGAATATTCAATTACATATCAATTGTCTGTCTCTGGCCACGAAAGAAACTTTGGATACTGGTTTTCAGATTGACAACAAAACAGAGACTCAGTGGTTGAAGCTCTGCAATATAGCCTCTAAAGTGGCTCCAAAGGAGTTCAAAAGCTCTTCTTCACCTTGGGTCCCACCTGTGTAGTACTGGCTATTGGAAGCACTATTTTGATTATTCTGGATAAGAGTGCTGGGTGGCCTTGATTCGTTCACAACTTGAGGGTCTAGGAAATTGTACGCAGCTGAATGAAATGCATTGGACTGTGAACTAAAAGATGAGCTACAAGAAGCTGCTAGAGATGTACTGGTAGAAGGCACCTGATGGATTTGCCTTCTGTGATCACTTGGATTTAAAACTTGATTAAATGATGCCTCTTCTACGTTCATGCTCATGCATCCCATTTCATCAGTCTCCATGTTAACAATGCTGGGTGCTGTGACGTTTATGGCATGAGCCTGATGCATGATGCTGCTATCAGAGACATTCTGCATGTCTTGCTGTGACATCGCTGATGCTCCTATACCATTTGTGCTGGCGAAATCTCGATAGTAGTTTAGATCCTTCTGATCAGTCCAGTTCAGAACATTTTCAGGAAGAGCTGAGAGAGAACTGCTGTTTTGTGGGTTAGGGTTAAGTGCATCCATCACAAAACTGTTCTCTGTCTGTGTATTAACTGTGTTGCCCGATGAAGAAGAGGAGCACAGGGAATGCCAACATGAAGAAAGAGCTTCATCATGCTTAACCGGTCCCACGGCCTGCACATTTGTATGGTGATGTGGGATTGGATTTGAATTGCATGTGGGTGGGGAATAATAAGACGGAATTTGACTGGTGCTTACAGGAGTTCTCTGCAGCGGCATAATTGCAGTTTGAGAAAACATATTTGGTTCTGTGAAAAGGAAACAAATATCTTAATTAATGCCTAGAAATTATAAGAATGAAAAACATGGCAGGCAGTTCAAATGGTCAAGCCTGCCAAAGTGGTACAGCAAAAGCACTAAACACAGGCTTAACTTTAAGCACATGTGCAATCCTATTGACATCAGTGAGATGATTCATGGGCTTGCAGTTAAGCACCTACTTTGCTGGATCAGGCCACAGTGCTTAGCACCTTGGAGGACAAACCCTAAATGTCCAACCTGCAGTTAGACTAGCTGTAAACATCACCCTTCTTTACTTGAAACGTGGAAGCTAGAGAAGCTTACAATAAAAAATATGGATGGCTTTGAGGCTGTATAATAAGTACTCTCAGTATCTTAGGACACGTCTGTTCTGCATCTGGGAGCAAACCTCCAGCCCCAATCCACAGACTTGTACTAGAGAGGCTCATGCTAGCACTCTAAAACGAGCTGTCTAGATCGGGGTGGGAAAACTTTTTGGCCTGAGGGCCTCATCACTTTTCCAAAATTGGATGGAGGGCTGGTTAGGGGAGGCTGAGTCTCCCCAAACATTCAGGCGTGGCCTGACCCCCGCCTCCTATCCGACCCCCCCTGCTTCTCGCCCCCTGAGGGCTCCCCTGGGACTCCTGCCCCATCCAACCCCGTCGGTCCCCGGGACTCCTGCCACATCCGCCACCCCCTGCTCTCTGTCCCCTGACCACCCCTGGACCCCTCACCCCTAACTGCCTCTTGCCACCCCATCCAACACCCCCTGTCATTCCTGACTGCCCCCCCGGGACCCCAGCCCCATCCAACCCCCCCAGTTCCCCACCCTCTGACTGCCCTGCCCCCTATCCACACCCCCAATCCCTGACCACAGGCCCCGAACTCCCCTGCCCTCTATCCAGCCCCCCCGCCCCCTGACCGCGCTGCCTGGAGCACTGGTGCCTGGTGGCGCTACGGCCGCGCTGCCTAGAGCGCCAGGTCAGGCCGCGGCTCTGCAGCTGCGCTGCCCGGCTGTCCGACGCACTGAAGCTGCGGGGGAGGGGCCGAGGGCTAGCCTCCCGGGCCAGGAGCTCAGGGGCTGGGCAGGAGGGTCCCACAGGCCACAGTTTGCCCACTTCTGGTCAAGATGCTGCTTTGACATTGGAGCTTGGGCTCGAGCTCAGGATCCCAAGCTTGTTCTGCTCCCACTCCCCACAGGCTTCAGAACCCAAGCTCGAGCCTGAGCTGCACTGTCTACACAGCTATTTTTAGTGCAAGAGAAAGTCTGTGGCCCCGGGCTAAAAGGCTTGCTCCCAGATGCAGAGTAGACATGGCCTCACCTGCGGAGGGGGAACCATAAAAGAACATTTAAGCAAACGATGCGGAAACCCCAGAAATGTAAAGTTAAGACTTCACTGAAAAGAACCAAATGTCTGAAAGCTCATAGACATGCAGAGATAACAGATACAATTTTCAAAAGGGCCTAAATAAGTTGGGAACCTAAGTCCCAATGACTTTGAGACTTAGGCTCCCAAGGTCGAAATCCTCAAAGGTATTTAGGTGCCTAACACTTTGACTCCTAAAACATTTAGGTGCTTTGGAAAACTTTACTCAGTGTTTAGCATTTGTCCAAACAACTTCACCTCTGACCCAATCTCCTGCTGCTCTCCCTGGCACCAGCCCCTTACCCCTCTCTCTCATTGAAAAGGAGCAGCACATGCTTGCTTGCTCCCTCCCTCCCAGCTGGCTGTCAGGGGCTCCTTCCCCACATGGGTGCTGGACTTTGGGGGTGGGGCCTATTGCAGACCGCTGGTGTTTGTTCCCCTCTTGCCCCCTGCTACTGAAGAGCTTCTCTCTCCTGCAGTGAGCTGCCCCCTTACTGCTGCTTTCATGAGGGAGCATTAGGGGCTGGCCTCTCATACTCTCAGCAGGGGGCAGACTCCAGAGACCCCTCATTGCTAGGGCACAGTGCTCTTGCTGAGAGGGGAAAGGACCCCTCAAACCTTCCTCAACCATTTGTTTTAGACAGATTCACGTTGGGTATTAGAGAGCCCCCCTTTTCTTCCACCTGAGGAGCAGGCCTACAACAGCACTTTCAGGATGGAGTGCTGAGTCACCTTATGCGGGTGACACTTTACTGTGGCCCTTCGGGAGACCATGAATGAACTGGGGGTGGGATGGGGGCAGGTGCAAATAATAGGTGTCTTCAGGTAATACTAGTGCCTTGAAGTTTAAGTGCTGGAGTCCCGGTGGATAGCGGGCCAGGCATGTTCCCAGTTGTGTGCCTGCATTTACATGTCAAGTTATTTCAGCACAGTGTGCATGAACCAGAAAGTGAAAGGGCTTTTTGATTTCTCTGTATATGCATCTGTGGTAATTGTACATACAAAAGTCACCCCACCAGTGCCTCTAGCCACTGAAAACTAGCCCCCAGTGTTTGAAAAGCTTAGGGCCCTTATCGGACTCTCTGCTATGGAAAACGGACACTGCAAATCAGAGAGTCTGTAATGACATGTGCAGACAAATCTACCTTTCTTAATTACCCGCCCTTCGCCAGGGATAGACCGGAATGGAGCTGCTTTGGGCCTCTCGGACACACTGGGACCTGTAATGGAAAAGGCAATTAATCCTGTTATTTAAGAATAGGATCGCTCTTTAAAAAAAAAAAAAAAAAAAACCCCACCACATGGAAGCAAACTACCAAATGTTTTCCTTACCATATTCCTGGATGAGCTTTTGCAAAGTCAATGTTGATATTTGCCTTTGCCTTTTTGCTTTATTACCATAAGGATCTACAAGGGGAAGGAGAAAAGAGTGTTGGAGATTAGGATGCTCTCCACTGTGTTTTGTGATGAAAGTTTCCAGTACTGATGTATGCCTTCTGGTTATAGTGGAAAGGGTCTTCCCAAATGTAGTTCTCATAAATGTGTGATCTAAAGAGCCGATACAAAAAAATCACAACCCACCACCCTTAATATTATTCTAAAGAAGGACAATGCTGGAGTGCCGTTACTAAAACCAAACTTTTTATGATTCAAGTTTGCTCTCTCATGTAATAATACAGCTTTGACATACTCTTAAGAATTCTACTAGTAGGAACTGTACCTTTTTCATCTGGTAGATATCTGAAATCCATTGACTCACTGACTTCCTGGTCAGAAGGCCTTCGCAGCTGCATCTTTACCGTAACTGGTTCAGAGATGTCTTCGTAAAATGGTGGGGTTTTGAATACAATAGCGACTTGACGGTGTACATCAGCTTGTGAGAAACTACCTTTGGCTTCCCACTCATTCCAGACAAATCTGACTTCTATATCATCTAGTCCACCAGAAACAGAAGGTACCAGTTAGTACAGAGAGAAAAAACTAAAACCTCTGGCCAACATTTTCAAACTTGTGGGCCTACAGTTAGGCATTAAGTCCTTATGTAGGCTCCTAAATAGCCTGATTTTCAGAGGAGCTGATGACCTATTGAGTTCAATGGGAGTTGAGGGTGCTCAGCAACTCTGAAATCAGGCTGCTTATTTAGGAGCTTAAGTGAAGGTTTAGGGACCTAACTTTAGGCCTCCAAGTTTGAAAATGTTGGCCTCCGCAGCTGAATACATTTGAAATGTATTCTGGGAAGAGGGAGAGAAACTAATCACAGTTACCTTTTTGAACCTTGTCACACAGTAGAAATATTTCATCTCCTCCTTTTACAGTTCCACAGTTCTTGTTCACACGACAGATTCTCAACTCTGCTGTGTTGGGAGCCCCTAGAGAGAAAACAGGAAATAGCGATAGGATATAAGGACACAAGAACAGCTGTACTGGGTCAGACCAATGGTCCATCTAGCCCAGTATCTGGTCTTTCAGCAGTGGCCAATGCCAATTATGTCAAGGGGAATGAACAGAGCAGGCAATTTGAGTGATCCATCCCATGTCGTCCAGTTCTAGCTTCTGGCAGTTGAGATTTAGGAACACCCAGAGCTTGGGGTTGCATCCCTGACCATCTTGGCTAATAAAAAAGAGAGAGGTCTTTATGGAAGTGCCCTGGGATGACTGATGGGCAGGTATTACAGCACTGTTATCAACATGAACGGATGTGAATGTAAGAGGTGAGTTCGAATGCACCTCTGTACTGGGCCTGGTATTAAAGTCTGTACTGGAAGGGGTGCTCCATCTAGCCCTCTCCACTATGTACGTAAGGCTTGTAAAGCATTAGTAGCTGCCATAGAATGAAAGTGCAGAGGAGAAATTCTGGTACATATAAACTGAAATGAAGGTCTCCATCCTGCTTGGCCTAACAAGGCAATAACTGGGGCAGGGACAGTGCAGTGCACACCTGGCATTCAAAATGCCCTCCACATGAAGGTAATTTGGAAACATGTTCCTAGCCCAAGATGAAATCAGTAATCAGGTGATGAAGGCAAGAAAGATGAAGGCTCTGGTCATGTAGCCTTTTCCTGTCTTGGGCACCAAACACCAAAACTGCTACTCTTAACCACTTATCTTCCATATTTATTCCAAAGCCAGCTTACATTACTGTTGCAAATATTTCACCACTTAGCCAGTGGTTGTTACTCAACATTACAGCAACTCTGACCCATAGAACTCGCATGCAAGGGTTTAGTCAATGACCCTTACACATCACTCTGGAGTTGCTGGAAAGGGTTGGGTCAGCAATTTGTGAAAGTGAAACCCCTTCCCCCCACCTCAGCACAGCAGATTATAGTTTTTACTTAGGGACGTACTTGGTCCTAAAACCGCTAAGTTTGGTCTAAAAGAGATCGGCAAATGAGGGTCGGGCGAGAGTCAATGAGTCTTCCTATACACTCACACAGCATCTACTCAGTGTGGTCCCAGTCAGGGTTGGGATCGCAGGGCACTACCACTATAGAAATATTTAATAAAAATAATATTTTAAAAAATATTTAATAAAAAATAATAAAAAAATAGCAGCTAACAGGTTTTTTTTTTTTTAATTTTAACATTTGGAGGCAATGGCCAAATTTTTCAAAAACAGGATCCTAAAGTTAAACTCCAAAATTTGGATTTAGGCATCTAAATAGATGGCCAGATTTCAAAAAAATACCCACCAGCCCCCAATAGGGTCTACAGGAATTTCTGGGTGTTCAGTATTTCTGAAATCTGGCCACCAAGGCCCCAGTCCAGCAAAATACTTTGAAGCATGTGCTTAACTAAGCATGCGAGCAATCCCAGTAAATCAACATATGTACATATGCTTAAATTTACGCATGGGGTTAGGTGCTTTGCTGGCTCAAGGCCTCATTTGAGTGCTTAAGTATAGAAAATTCTGAAAATCTTGGTAATATTGCATATTATCATCTGTAATTCTATACAAGGGGCCAGACTGGGCTCGAAGACAACCACCACACAACTTCTACTGACTTCAGCATCTGGCTAAAGATGTGCAGACACAGAACGCCTCTGGCATTATATCAGTGCTCACAGAGGTACTGGATCAAGAACTGCCCTATGTAAGATTACCTCTGGTAGCCTCACTGTTTGTCATTACAAAATAAACCAATACAATTAAGATAGCATAACTGCTTAGCCCTGAGCAGCACAGCTGCTGGAGACCTGCAAAGGCTCTTCAGTGCTGAAAGTAATTATTTTATCTACCACAAGTCAGAGTTTAATATATTAACAGCAGCTTTTCATGAACAAATGTGGGATAAAGATTAGGATACTGTTTCAAATTGATATACTTCATAAATAATATAATAATTCATATATATCCAAGTAGTATGCTGGGCAAAAGGTGGTCCAATAAATTTACAGACTGCATCCCAAAAACCTAAATTAAAAGAACATTAAGGTTGCAAAGTCAAGCAGCTGAAAATTAGGAAATCTCATAGTTAAGGCTGCATGTGCAACTGTAATTCAGCCCCTTTGTGCATATTCATTAGGATACAATCTTTACATATGTGATCACATGCTGGTTTTCCCCAACTCATTCAGTGCACAGGACAGACTGTGCTCACTGAATGAGCAACTCTTCAATATTTTGTTTCATCCTCATCATTTAATATGTGACCACATGCCTCACTGCACACTTTTCAAAACCTTCTCTACATAACAGTACAGAATTAACAGCTTCCTCATGACGCTCTCAGCGTCATATCTTAGGGCTTTACTAACATGAATGGAATGGTCTTCACCAGAGCCCTGTGAGGTGAGGCATGACGATTAGCCCCATCTGACACATACCCAGTAATTCTGGGTGCCCAATCTGAGATGCCTAGTGTCTGATTTTTTCAGAGCATTTGGTATTATGTAGCACTTTGGATGTACAGAGCACAGCTTCCATGGACCTCAGTTGCAGCTGAGAGCGATCAGCACTTCTGCAAATCAGACCCCAGGTGTCTCAAGTTGGGTATTCAGAAAATGAGGAACACACAGTGACCACCATGTGAAAATTCTGGTTTACATAACTTGCACTGCATCACACAGGAACTCTGCAGCAGAATCCAATACTCCAGGGCAGCATTCAGCTGCCTTTACCATGAAACCGTCCTTTCTGTCCCTGCGGTTCCCAGTCTCATTCATGTCACACTTTCCCCAAATGAGGCAGGTATCCTACAAAAGGCCTCCTTCACTACACAAGCCTGATTCATTGAGTGATAGAGCTAATGTGTCGTGGCTCAGTGAATGAATCAGAGGTCCTGTGGAAAAACTAGCATGTGATCATGTAATTAAGGACTGTATCATAATGCATACACACAAGGGGGATGAATTAAGGGTGCATAAGCAACCTTAATTCTGGCATTGCCTAACTTTTGAGTGCATGACTTTGCAACCTTGATGTCCTTTTAACATAGGAAATTACATTCCAGAAAACTAAGTTTTTTAAAATGCAAATAAAAAAAACCAGAAATTCCACCATGTGGAACCGTACTGACCCCCCAACACAGGTCATCAGGTTGTTCAGATCTACAGTACAGACCACTGCCACTTGAACAAAGCGTAACTGTTGTTTTCTATTTGGTCCAGTCACTAGAAGGAGACAAGACTCACTTTGCCAGTCTGTTTCACAACTATCTGATGACAGCAAAGGAATATTAAGACTCAGAAATACTGGGTTCAGTTCCAGGCTTGGCAGAGGAGTATTCTTCAGTGGTTATAGACCTTTCTATCCCTATTTTCGCTCTCCTGCCCCTGCCCCTGGCCCCTCCTAGGCTCTCAGTGAAATGGCTGTAAGAATGTTTTTTTAAAAAACATACACCAAAAAACCATATTTCTCCCTGATCTCATTCTCAGAAATGGCTGAACCGTTTTAGCAGAAATTTCCCAGACATGTCAGCCTGAGGTAGACACCCAACATGGGAAATTTCAGTCTAAAATAATTAAAGTTTGGCAAAGTTACAAGCAACTGAAAATGGGAGCCATCTTAGCTATAGACAGTGCCACCTGCACTATTTTATAAACTGACACTGTCTTCGGCTCCACCTGTACCCGTTCAATTGTTTCCACTTTAAGTTCATACATTTCAAAAATGAATAAGTTGATGGAGACTAAGAATGACAAAAAGTGAAGACAAATTATTACATGAATGCGTGTGGGAAGAACAAAATATATGACAATGCAGAGAGAGCTATAAATATTTGTATTGCTACTTGTTTGAACAGACTTGCAACAGCTCTGGGTGAGTAATGTAGGTATCCCAAAGCCACTGACAAAACAAACTGTATTCAGATCATCTTGGTCTATAAACCATGAGAATATACTGAGAGCCACAGTTCAGTAGGAAGAAAATGTGTGTTACCTGAATAAGTTGGCTGTTTATTGCATGTATTCAACTGCATAATTTTGGTCACTTTATAATACTCTATGAGAGAGAGTGCATACACACTACACATTTTTAACCAAGGTCAAAACTTGACCTTTCTTAATTCTGTATGTCAGAACTAGTTTGAAAAGGTCAACAAATTCATGAGATGTCACAGCAATTCTACCAATTTGTGGTTGAAATTATGCATCATGTTTTAGTTACACTACCACTAAGCTACAATGGAGGACTCCAAACACCCGTAATACAAAACAAAATCACACCTACACACACACACCATGATAAAACCAAAGAAAGCTTAGCAGGGACTGACGTCAACTGAAAGGCACTTGTATTTATGATCTAGCACAGGGGTCGGCAACCTTTCAGAAGTGTGTGCCGAGCCTTCATTTATTCACTCTAATTTAAGGTTTTGCGTGCCAGTAATACATTTTTAGAAGGTCTCTTTCTATAAGTCTATAATATATTACTAAACTATTGTTGTATGTAAAGTAAATAAGGTTTTTAAAATGTTTAAGAAGCTTCATTTAAAAATTAAATTAAAACGCAGAGCGTCTCGGACTGGTGGCCAGGACCCAGGCAGTGTGACTGCCACTGAAAATCAGCTCGCATGCCGCCTTTGGCATGCGTGCCATAGGTTGCCTACCCCTCATCTAGCGTATTTCTAAATGGTAGCTGAGACACATTGCTTTTAGCTCTGTTAATTTTATCTCAACCTCACCAGCTCTGCTTTAAAGTCTCTGAACAAAAGATTGTGTAGCATTTCAACTGGCAAAAGTAAGAGATTTATAGCATGTTTTAAAAATAGGTAAAAACAAAAACCCTGGTTAGAACTGAATACTTCCATAATGGTTACGTCAATTCATAGCACTACTCTCCTCATCAACTGCACAGATGCACCTTTTTTCTAAATCAGTGGCTTCTACTAAAATAATCGGTCTCACGACCTACAAAACTTGGCACAGAAATGTCTTATCAGAAAGACGACAAAAATAATTGCCAAAGTCTTCAACAATTATTAAAGGCTATTCTGCAAAGGCAGGATATAAATATTTATATCTCATATTTCACACTCCTTTTTCAGACGATCCAGTTACAGTATAGCGAAGTCACCCAAAAATCCTCTGAAAAAGTTAATCCTTTGCAAAACACATCTGTTTGTGGTAAAATTCCATCCTGGATAGTGAGTCAGCACAAGGCCTATGCATCACTTAAGGGGCCAGACCCTGAGCTGTTCAAAACTGGCATCACTCCATTGAAGGCAGTGAAGCTATGCGAACTTAAACCAGCTCAGGTTCTGCCCCCGGCCCTCAAAATAAGGGTTGATGGGACATAAGTAGTTTAGAGCTTTGTGCTAATTCTCTACATGGGTGAATTTCACCCATAGGGCCTGATCCAAAGCCCCAAAGAAGTCAACAGAAAGATTCCCCAATTATTTCAAAAGGCTTTGGATCAGGTCCTTGGAGCACAGATAGAGCTTTATGGCAGCTAAGTCCAAGCTGGGACCTTTCTCAGCAATCTTTATCACTACAAAATATTTTAAACGCCTTGCCTACTGGAAACGGGGTTTCTTGTGGTTACTGCTGCAGTACGTAACCAATGGCCATGAAAGGATCTAACGAGTAGTATGACTGATATAGATACTGCACCTCCTACTACCCAATGTCAACATACCACTCACACCTTTGTTAGACCCATTTGATATCCAACAGGCATATACACAATCTACAGTCCATATTCTGGCCTTGGCTCTACGCACTAGGATCCAAAGCCAGCGCTAGGATCCTTGGCCCTGTGTTTGCATTAGATAGCGTAAGAGAGCCAGAGAGCTGAGAGGGAAATGGCTGGGAAGGTAGCCTGACCTCTGTCACTTCCAATACAAGGGAAAAGTTATCACTTAAAAGTGCACCTGTCCAGTTGGGATACTCACGGTTATCATAAATAGGGTTGGAGATGACAGGAGGAAGTGGTAACGTACAATTGCCGTGTTCATCAGGGAGGAACACCTGAAAGCAGAGTCTCACGACATTGAGGTCATACTCATCAACATTGAGCAGCTGTTCTTCGGGCACTGCAAGGTAGAGAGAGATGGCAGAGTAAGAGTTATCACACAGAAGCAGCAATCACACTTAAAGAAATTGGGGTGAATCTCTGCTGGTAGAAGCAACAATGCCACCAGTGCATGGAGGATTCACCTGTGACACTCACTAAACCCCACGTATCAATCCCTTGAATGTGGAACAGTAGCCTTTAACCCTTACTCTCTTCCAAACCTATTGTTAGCCTGAGAATAGTTTTATGGTCTCATTTAGCCATTCAAAGAATCACAAACCAAGTGCCTACAGTATCAGCAGACCATAATAATACTTCCAGTTCACCCATCCTCCAAAAACCTCCTACAAATTTCATTACCCCGTTAGTCAAGAGTGAAGCTTGAAACATGCTTGGACAAAAAACAAACAAAAAAAAACCAGCAGTGACCACACTGTACTGATAAATGTCAAACACTTGCATCACCGTTTTGGTGTCTGCCCCCACACAGCGTAGGAGGTGACACCACCCACCCACGCTGGTGACTTTTGGTATTATTGAAATAGTACATGCAGCAAATTCAAATTCCTCTGCCTTTTTCATTTGCAATTGTGATTTGAATATCTCAGTCCCTCCAGATCTCAGAGTTTTAAAAATAAATTTGATCTTTTTCATTTTAAACATGGGATATTTATCTATAAATGCACCAGGATTTGAAAGTTAAAAATCAGCCCCTCTACAGCTTTAAATATTTTGGATCCAAACCTGGTGTCCTAACATGGGCAGATCCTCTCCTGACAGAGTTTTGTCAGTGTAAAGAGTGCAGGATCAGGCCCAGCTAATTTATCAGAAAGTCTAAGGCAAAGTTTCAAAATATAATATACATTAGTAGTAGACTTTTTAATTTAACAAAACAGGGTCTTTGTGAAGCAGATTTGGTCACTGGCACCATTTCACCCTGTAATCTGCAATTTCTGTGTTCAGACTATCTCAGATAACCTGCACCTGAACATACAGTGTTAGTACTCCCTGCCCAACTCCCCTTACCGAGAACTAGGGGCTGGATGCTGGGCCAGGAACAGATGGGAGGCAGCTTACACCTCCCTATTCAGAGGCTGCAGGGATCAGCACTGCCCCAGTTGAGGCGAGGATCTGGTAAGGAGGCCTGACTTGCCAGAAGCAGTACTGCAATCTACCGTGTAGAAGGTATACATGACAAGGGCAGTCCTCAGGGCTCAGCTCAATTGCTAACTGCTTCAACAGCTTAAGGGGCTTTGCACAAGCACAATCTCTGCAATGTATGTCCACCCCAGCCATGTCACTCCCAAATCTTCCTCCTCCAACGCCACTCTCAACTTGCCACTACTCTGCCCCAGAATGCCCCTGCAGAGCTGGGCCTGGGCATAGGAGACCCCCAGCAATACAATTACACCTAGTTGGCTAACGCAGGCTCAATGCTGATTTGGTCTCTCTCCAAGCTCAAACCAATAGGAGTAGACAAGAGGACTCAGGAGACTTGGAGGTGCACCTTGTAGAGTTTCTGCCAAATACTACCTTCATGGGAAGATATTTGTGGCCTCCAGGTGAGGCAGAAAGCATAGCCCCCCTACCCTGCAGAGCTCAGAGATCTATAAGAAAAGGCAATGCCAAACTTGTACACTCGGGAGAACGTGCAGTGGGGCAGGTCTCTCCTCCACCCTGGTATGGCTCTTGGAGAGCAGTGTGTGGTGCCTGTAGGGCTTATGCAGCCCTTTTTACACCGATTTGCTCTTTCTGCAGCAAGTTCTGGTAGAATACACCAGCAACAAAGATGTTTGGGAATGACTACTGGCTTGTTTCTGCTGCTAGAATTAGACCTGAAGACAGTTTTCTGCTAGGAGGGTGCAATGTGTCACAAAGATGGGATCTCTGAGCCCAAACCCCTTTCTATAATTGGACAGATGGCTTCTCAACCTAGCTCAGGCCTAGCAGATGCAGCCCACTCATCCTTTTGATGTCACCTGACTGATATAAATGTTTAATTTTTTCCCTCTTGACTAAGTCTTAGGGAATGGCATATTCACTGTCCCAATGTCTCTGGTATCTCATCCACTCCCCAAAAACTTGAGGCAGTTAAGCAATGACATCTCAGTAGCATTCAGGTTCAGGGCCTGAAGTTGGTGTTTCAGCACTAGGCTTTGGTGATAACCCAGACTCTGATGTTGAGGGTTTCCCAGGCTCATTCCGTAGCTTCTGGATCATAAATTACTAAACTAAAGGTGGGCTCAAACTTTATCCAGATAACAAACCTCTCTCAGTGGATTTGAAGGTGTTGGGAACTGCTGTGGTTTAGCTCATTGCAGATATATGGAACCAGGCATGACAATCTGGATCTGGTTTCTGATATCGTACCATCTCAAAGCTGGGACCCGCAGCTGTGGATCAGCGGTCTCTACTACAAACTAAGGCCCCAATCATGCATTGTGGTTTGCACAGGTGTAGCAGTCTGCCCATGCACAAAAAGTTGCAAGATTAGTGCCTAAAGCAATTCCAGAGTTCCAAAAATGTATTAGATTATGTGGGAATTTATATGCTAATAGTAAGGTTCAAATAATATATTTTCCCAAGGTGTAAATGAGCTTTCAAACTCTCACTGCTTCCTAATCAGTCCGCTTGACCAAGCTGTTCATTACCTTGAAATACAGAAAGGGTACAATGGACTAATAATTCCAAAATATGAAATCCATTTGAAGAACAGTTTTTACTGGAGACATCAGTGTTGTGTTTCCCATATTCTTAAAAGTAGTTTTAAGATTTAAAAAAAAAATCTGCCATTTGAAAGAGGAAGTGTTCAGTTAAGACTGATTCCTCTTGTCTATTTTTAAATTTCACTTCTTACTAGATGAACAGAATACAATGCAGCAATCATGTTCTCTTTTATTGCTTTAACTCCATCTTGTGATAAGATATTTTTAAAAAACCCCAAATATATGGGCCAAATTCCACCCTTGCATAAAAAACACACAGCTCTCATTAATGTCCACAGGAACAGCATTCACCCCTTGAGGACAGATTACAACCCAAATTCTTATTTTTGACCTGAGTGGGAATTAAGAGTCTGATCCTGCTCCCACTGAGTTTTGTCGTTGACTTCAGAGGCAGGATCAAGCTCTAAGTAAAGACTATTTAAAAATAAACCAAAATGACAGTGACTTATTCTACATGAAAAGCCAGATCCTCAGCTGCTGTAGTTTGCTGTAGCTACAGTGATTTCAGTGTTGAAGGAACCAGGCTGAGGATCCATCCCAAATATCTGAACATTCTAACATGTAGTAGAGAGGATGATAAAAAAAATCTGATCCCACTGTGTGAGCCTCACACAAGTAGTCCCACTGAAGTAGTCAATGGGAGTACTCACATGAAGTGCTCAGAAAGCAAAGGACTGATTGCATGTTGGGGTTTGGGGAGCACAGATATGTTAAGAAAAGCTTACGCACAACTTTATATTTATAAAAAAAGTGCCTAATCTCTTGGCTTCAGTTCTTCTTCTTACTTTTAAACTCACTGTTTTTAAATGGCACCGCACCTTACTGTCATCACAGGAACCAACCACAGGAGTTTTACAACTAGGCCTGGCCCATCATCATAACAAATTTCCTGTGACTGTCCATTCTAATTAAAACCTGGTCTCACTGCAGCTGAGTTCACACCTCTTAGGAGTTCACTTTCTGTGACTATTCTAGCACACAAATATACATGAAGGAAAGATTGTGAAAACAGTGAATTTTAAGTAACTTTACGAATATTGATGGAAAGCAAATTCTGAATTCATAAAATGCAGTTATTTGCGTCAGAAACCTTACTCATATGATCATAGAACAAAAAAGTCATCTGACCTATTTACACACACAATAAAAACCAGCCAATGCTATTCAAATTCTCACCAAGAACAGCTCACAATCTACATGAAAAAAAGCTATTCAACTTTTAATTTTAAATTAATAAATTTGAAAAAAAAATGCAGCATCATAAACCCCAAGATTGTCTTAAATATAATGAGATTTCAAAAATAGTAAATTTGAAGATTTTTTTTTATCTGCTTTCTGGGTTTAGGGTCAAACTTTTGTTTACAATCATGAGAGCTAGAAATGTAGCTTACATTTTTAAATAAAAGATTATCTCACCTATCACTTTACTCCTGGCACTGGGGATTAGAAAAAATTACATCAACTGTCCTGAGATTTGCAATAAAATTGTGGGAGTCACCAACACTGAAAATGGTTAGCTGCTTAAAATCAATATGCTACAAGAAAGAGGCTACACTCATTAATAAATGATTTTTCTATTAATTTGTCACTTCAGTGCTACTTACCACTGTTTCAAGAGATACTCTGATACAACTGCTGTAAAGAGATACTTATTTATCGGTGTCAAAAATAATAAAACCTGTAACAGCTCTCCACTTCTGCATCCATGCAGCTAGGGTGGAGACTAACAAGGAACTATAACTGCTGCAAGTTCCAAAGCCATTGACTTCAGCAGGGAGCCCTAAATTCCATCTCTGTATTGCAGCTTCAGTGACAACTAGTTCCTCCAAATGTCTGTCCCTCTTTTAAAAAAAAAAAAAAAAGGGTGGAAAATTATGCTACCTGGAAAGAGTAAATAGGATTATGGAACCCTCAACTTGAAGAGGTAGTAGGTGGACTATTAAAAAGTAACAGATCTTAAGAGAACAATTTATAAATCACTATTTAAAATCTATATGCTGCAATAGCTCCCCACATTTGAGGGCAGCATTTCCAAAAGCATTCAGCAGTGGACTAATTCTGCTCCCGCTGAAGTCAAACATTAGACCAATGCAGTTAGACCAATGCTGAGCGCTCTTTAAAATCCAATCCAAAACTCCAGTGATTTGTAGGAGTGGGGAAAATCAAACACAACAATGTGATCAGATTAAAGCCAGGTCTACACTCGACCCAGCTATGTCACTCAGAGGGTGCGAAAAATCCACACTCCTGAGCAATTTAGTTAAACCGAACTAACTGCTAGTGTAGACAGCAC